CATGTGCTTTTTGATCATTTGTATGTCTTCCTTGGAGAATTGCTTGTTTAGGTTAGCTATTTTAAATTATGCAATACAGCATTATTAATTATAGCCACCGTGCTATACATTACAACCCCATGACTAATTCATTTTATAACTGGACATTTGTACCTTTTGGCCCCCACACCCATTTTGCTCACTCCCCACCCCTGCCTCAGGCAAGCATCAATCTGTTCTCTGCATTCATGAGCCTGTTTTTGATCTGCTTTATTTTAGATTCCAAATACAAGTGAGATCATATGGTATTTAGCTTTTTTTGTCTGATTTATTTCACTTGACATACACACAGCTTTTCTAAACTTCCATTTCCTCATCTTTAAAATTGGAATAGCATATAGTTAGGATCTGGGGTAGGGATTTGAAAGGATTTGAAAGTAGTATTGCCTGGAATGTATCAATTAGTAGATTGATTGGACCATCTATTAAATCAACAACTTTAGGGAGTGCCAGTTAAGTGCTAGGTATTGTGTTAGGTTCTAAGGTTATCCTGGTGAGCAATGCAGCGATCTCTGGCCTTCTGGAACTTAGAATATGGAAGAGAAAACAGACCCCCAGTGAGTGAAAAGAAAATAAGTATAGAAACACAGATCACAAGTGCTCTGAATATAATAGTCAAGAATGTTGATGGAGAATTTTGAGGGGAGGAGAGGGGAGAGACTATTATAGTTCTTATCCTCAAGGAAAATGCTTTGGATGTGATAACATTAAGCTGAGACCGGGAGGATGAGTGCCCCAAACTTCATCCCTGGGGAGGTTCCCAAGGAATTATTAATGGACCTTCCCATCAAGGTAAAACTGAAATATCTTAATGTGGTATTCCAAGTTCCTCCATGACGAGGATTGCCAGATAAAATACAGGATGCCCAGCTAAATTTGCATTTCAGACAAGTGACAAAAAGCTTTTAGTATGTTCCTAAATTTTGCATGGAACATATTTATGCTAAAATTGTTTGTTGTTTAACTGAAATTCAGACATAACTGGGTGTCTTACATTTTTTATGTGCTAAATCTGGCCACCCTATCCAAGATCTTCCCCAGCCACCGTCTCCTGCCTTACTTCCCACCAGTCCCTTCACAAACCCTATGCCCTGTCAAACATCCTTATCTTTGCTCATGCCGTTTCTTCTGCCTGGGTCACCATCTTTCACCATGTCCTCTTGGCAAACTCTTGTCATCTTTTAAACCCCAGTCCAAATGGTGCCTCCTGTGGGAAGCCATCCCTGGCAGGTACATTATCCTCATTACAGGGTGCTCCCCAAACCTGGTTCTCATGGGCTTTTGCCTTATGATTCTATATTTTAAGGCATTTTCTAAAAACACACAGATGTGATTGAATGCCTGCAAAGGAAAGAATATAAGGAATGATCTCATCTTTCCCACCTCCCTGCTCCCTCTCCCCAAATTCCCTCTCAACTCATAATATTAACGTCAAACATTGATTGAGTACTTTTCTGTGCCAGGCACCAGGCTAAGAGCTTTGCACGCAGCGTCTAGTATAAATTCCCCATAATCTTCTGATATAAATTTGGTTGAATCTCCTCTTTGCTGGTGAGGCAATCAGGCACATAGAGATAAAGTTGCTTGCCTCTGTTTCCACATCTGGAAAATCAGGATCATAACATTATCTTCCTCATTAGATTTTCTCCTCAACTAGAATATGGATTCCAAGAGGGCAGGAATTTTTTTCTTTATAAATGTCTTTATCCTCAGAGCCTAGAATAGTGTCTGGCGCTGAGTAGGCATTCAGTAAATACTTGCTGAATGAATGAGTCACTTTACATATGGGGAGACTGCAATTAGAAAGTAGCTTGCCCAAGGGCACACAGGTAGATGTGGTGGAAATTTGACTAGAACCAGAATCAGTGGTGTGTTGGTAAATGTTTAACAACCAGCTCTCT